ATGATGAGGAGAAAAAAAGTTCTGATTTTGCATCAGCTGAACTGTCTATTAAAAACGAAATAGCCAAAAATTATTGCTGAATATCCACTGAGGAATAGCTACAATACAGACAAAACATTTTCATGCAATTCTTGATGATGCTTATATTTAAACAATGAATGTTGTAACAGATGCTGTTAATTAAATCACAGAAAGAATATACTATAGTTGTTTTGCTCTGCTAATATGCAAGGCCAGAAACAAAGACTTCTAAAGACTGAAAAAGTAAAAATCCTAGATATTTTAAAGACATGAAATATTTACCAAAGGATTACTATTCAAATGTAAATGCCTTTATGACAACTAACATTTTTTAACAATTGTTTAGTTAAATGGAATATAAACTTCAAACAAATGGTTGTTTTGTTGTACAACACATTCATGACAGTCAAATACAAACTGATGTTTAACTTATATTGCTAATAGAATTTTCTTATTTGATGCACTACATCCTTTGGCAATGTTATAGGCTCAAATGTCTGAGAAGACCATTTAGAATTGTTTTTAAAAATTAGCACATAGGCATGTGAAAATGAACATAAAGAATACTACAGAAGATATGTCAAAAGAAAAGTTTAAAAATTGAATTGAGCATTTGGAAAGGAAATTCTGGTGTCTGTTATGGTGATATCATCAGAAATATGCCAAAATGATATTAAAGAAGACTTTGGAGAATTATCTGAAGAAAATCTACATGAAGATAGTCTAGATCTTCCAACAAATGTTCAGATGTGAGAAGCTCTTAAGTCCTTCATTGTGGCATATATTAAAGATGTGTTCCATTTCAAAAACTATGAATATGAACATTTTAAGTGAAATGTTGCCAAAAAACTATTTGGAAATAATACTGGTTAATCTACTAGTAATTATTATAATTAAATATAAATTTAATTATTAAGAGTTCATTAAACATTTTTAGTTGTTGTTTTAACATGTTTTAAATTCCTTGATTCACTAAAACTAGAATTTACACTAGAAATTCCACCAATTGTGATTACTTTCATCACATATTGTAATTACTTGGTTATTGTTACCAGTATAGGTTAGTTCCAAAGTGATTATTGTTTCTGTTCTGTTATTAATTTGTTGTCAGTTTAACTTAGTTTTATGATAAGCTTTTTTAATGAAACAATTCTAAATTTTAAAATTATGTAAATGTAAATTACAAGTTTATGCATTTATTGGTATTTCAGTATTAAAGAAGAATTGTATTTAATAAGATTAATATTTTCTTGATTTAATATTAAACTTGTCTTTAACTGGCTCTAGTGTTTAATAAAATAAGTTTCAAAAATCTATCGGTAAAACTTTACATAACATTTTCTTTTTATTTCTTTTAGAAATGTTATGTTACATATCTGTATAATTTCATTCTGATTATTATACAGATGTATACAGTTTTAAAAAGCTAAGAATGTTTGTTATATGCATTATTCTTGCTGAATTTTAAGGTTTTGGGTCTTTAATTTTGCTTAATATTTGTGATTTTCAAAATTATAGAAATATTTGTTTTTAATTAATTTTTAATATTTTCTCATATATATTTATAATTTGGCAAGAATTAAAAATATTTCAATTATAAATTAAATTAATACAATTAATTTTAGTAGGAAAAAAGAAACTACATTTTACTACACATCTTTATCCCAACACCGGAGAATACTAATAAAAAACGCTTTCTAACCTGTTACCAGTTCGTTACGAGTTAGTCGAAGAAGGAGAACACACCGGTAACAGGTTAGAAAGAGTTTTTTTAAACTAAATTTTAATATTGTGTGCAATTTTATCATTTAAAGTTCTATTGATTAATCTTGACAGTTCTATCAATACAATAGATGACTGTTACTAGGTAGTTCTGTACTTTTTACTGTTATTTTAGCTTTGATAATTGATTTATTCTATACTCATTTTTTTTATTTTTCTCATATAAAGATTGTGATTGTAATTAATTAAATGGATAATGATCTCTAATAATTAAATTTTTTTTAATCTAATGTGAAAAATATTTTAGTTCTATAATTTTTATATGGTTCCAATTTGAAATGCTTTTTCCAATAAGTTGTAAAATTTTGTTTTATTTTGAGGAAAAGATTCCTATCAAATACATTCAAATGAGCTTGGAAACTGTTTCCAAGGTCATTTGATGGTACTCAATCACTAGTTTTTAGCTGGTTTTTTGACACCCGTGATGTTGCAACAAGCTTCTAAAGGTGTCTAAGGATTCCAATAACTAATGGTTAATTTAAAGTAAGTAAATTTATTGGATGTTAGATGTGTTATATACACTAAAATAAGCCAATTAGGACACCAGCTTCAAAGAAAAAGATTGAAATCTCTGCTGCATTAGATGCTTTATTCTAGCTTAATTTTTATGTCTGAATATTTTTAATGAAGATATATAACAATCATGAATACACTTCATAATTTCTCTTTCATCACATACAAAAAACCATGTAACGTTAATAAAACTATCAACTACTACTCACATGTCCCAGAATATATAAAAAGGAATATTTATACCATGGAGTTAAAAAACATATATACCAGAATATCTGATAACAAATGGCAAAAAATAAAAATAAAAGAGCTTGAAACTAAATTTTTACTTAACGACTATCCTAAATCGAAATTAAACACATGGCAAAAGCAATACTGGGAAAATAGATTTAACACAAAATATAAATCCGACAAAAAATACAAAACCTTCCCATATATAAAAAACATTTTTGAAGGCTGTAATAAGTCATTAAAAAAAGACAATATCAGTTTGGCTCCATCTTTGACCAACAAAATATCTCATAGTATCCATTATGACATTAATAAACAACATAACAACAAACTAAACGCCCTTAAAACTATAGGAACTGTTTACAAACTTGAATGCAACTGTCAAAATCCAAAAACTTATATTGGTGAAACAGGCCGGTCACTAGAAACCAGAATTAAAGAACATATGGCAGCCATCCGCCTAAAACATAACACTTCCCCCTGGTACTACCACACAATAGACTATAATTGCCAAATTAATAAAAACAATACAAAAGTGTTACATGTAGAAAAAGACACATATAAAAGAAAATTTAAAGAACACATAGAAATCAAAAAACACCCTAAAGAAAACTTAATTAATGTTTCAGAAGGCATGTCCATAGACCCCCAATGGTACAAACTCATAGAGAACGCCTCCACGCGTTAAAGATTGTTTAAATCACAACCCCCGTGTACGGAATGTGGGTAACTGTTTATATAACATTACTTGTCGGTATTCTGTTACTAAGCGAACAACGGATAAGACCAGTTGTTAAAAATGTTTTGTACTATGTTCCTTTTTGTATTCGGAAATAATACATTCTAACTAAAATGTAAGTGTGCATTGATATTTTTTAAATTAATATTCTATGTTAAACAGTTCGTCATAAAAATGATATGTTAAACAGCCTCCCCCTTATGCCACTTTTTTCATATCATAGGCTATGCCATACTACTATGTAATCAAAAAATTTTTGTAAAATACATCTATGCTGTACCATTATATGTCAAGTAAGCAATTTTATGTTATCATCACCTCGCGTTTTTAGTTATGTTCCTACTAACCAATACCGTAAAACTAACCTTAAATTAAATTTTTTTTTGTGTAACCTTAACAGCACTGAAGAGGGGTTGGGCATTTAAGCCAACCCGAAATGCATATGAATAAGGAATTTTTTAAATAAAAAGTACGTTTTCTAACCAATTGCTGTCCGTTAGTCTACCAACTCGTTTTGGATTACACAGACGCTACACACTGCATTCAAGATACAGCAACCACGTCCTCTACATTACCATTCAGATGTTATAATATTCTACAAGAAGTTGAGAATTCAATTTTGACACCATTTAATGCTTAAAATATGTTTCCCCTGAAGGTTTCAGATTTTATGGTTTAATTTTCATGTTCTGTTCATATTTCCACATGTCTCATGTTTCTTTTCTTTTTGTTGTGAAATCATTGAATATATATATTGGAGATTAGATTTATCTTAGAAAAGTAAACTGTTTAATATTATTAAAATTATTTACTGTATTTATATTAATAACTATTATGTAAAATAATTATTTGTGTTTTGTTGATATACAAGGTGATTCAAAAAGGACTACAATTTTGAAAGCAAATAAAATTTTACTGAGAAGTCTTACAGAATTGATTGAGGCACTAGTTAATAAAAAACATGTTAAGTTTGTTTCATGTAATGCAGAGATGTTGCATTGGATTGAGGAGGTTGAGACATTCCTGGACAACATTATCTTTAGCAATGAATCAACATTTTATCTTTATGGTAGTGACCCTTCAAAAATTTACAAGCAACTGTGGAACATGTTTGTCACAGTCCAAAAGTGAATGTATTTTTTACTCTTGTTAAAGGGAAAGTGTATACTGGGAAATTTTCTTATTCCACAGTTAAGCAACAATGACATAGAAGAATGCCATTGTTACTTTTAATGAGATGGTGCACCACCCACCACCTTAAAGACATTCAAGATTTCTTCAATAAATGCTTTCTAGGTCAGTGGAGTGGTTGAACAGGGCCAATATCATGGCCATCTCCATTTCCCAAAGTTGATTAGATCTTTAATGGAACTTCAAAGAAAAAACAAGTCTTTATTCTATCATAGCCTGCAAATCCCACTGAGCTCGAAACTCAAATCACTATCAGTTACTGAAGTAACGACAGATATATTGCATCTTTTGGCAAGAATTGAATTCAGGTGGGATGTCTGTCATATCACCAGTGGTGCACTCTTAAAACCAAGATTGCTATTTGAGATAAAATTTTATGTGCTTTGCTATAAATTAACATTTGAACTGATTCTGTAACTCTTCTGATTAAAATTTTTTTTTTTTAAATCACCCTGTACAAACTAAAGTAATAACTTAAGTTTCAAAATCATGGCTTGAATAAAAGTAATAATTTCTGTCACAGGTCTTCCCCTTCAATTGGATTTTAGTGGACTTCAGCTTCCACAGAGTAAGTTTTTTTCTTCTTAAATTAGAGGAAAACTTACTAAAATTATAAATTTAATATACTGTATATGAAACCAAACTATGTCAGTAATTCATTCTATATGTATATTTATGTAATTTTATTTTCTCAGCATCCCGACCAGAAGACGATCCAGTTTATCTTAAAGAAATGTTATTGAGTCATCCTGAACAACTTGCTCTTCTGAAACACAATAATCCAAGATTAGCTGATGCTTTGCTTAGTGGTGACATAGGTAAATTTTTGGTCTTAAAATTTTTTAAAATATTTATAATATCATAAATATATAAAAAGAATCAAATAAGCTATTTTAGATATTTAATATAATTTGTCAGAAATATGATTAATTATCATTTTTGTTAAAGAACGCTTTACGTCGGTACTTCGAGAACAACAGAAAGACCGAGCCGAGAAAGACAGACAACGTATTAGAATAATGAATGCAGATCCATTTGATCCTGAGGCCCAACGTATGATTGCAGAAGAAATCAGGTATATTTTAAAAAATGTCTTTAAGTAATTTTGCATAGAATTTATAAAATTAATATTTTATCGTGTTATAGTTTAAAACAATGACAAGTAATAATCTGTTTTAAGAATTTAAATTAATTAGGATGAATCTTTAAGAGTTTTTTGTAATTAATTTAAGGCAACAAAATGTTGATTCTAATATGGAAGCTGCAATGGAATATCATCCTGAAAGTTTTGGTCAAGTTATTATGTTATATGTCAATTGTAAAGTTAATGGACATCCAGTAAAAGCCTTCATTGATTCAGGTAAGTAAATGTTTGTGTTAAAACATATTTTCATTAATTATAACTGATTATTTTGTTGTTTTTTTTTGCAGGAGCCCAGACAACAATAATGAGTCAAGCTTGTGCTGAGAGATGCAGCATTATGAGATTAGTAGATAACAGATGGGCTGGCGTAGCTAAGGGAGTGGGAACTCAAAAAATTATTGGAAGAGTTCACTTGGGTAGGAACTGCAAACAAATTTAAATTATTAAAATATACATATATTGATTAATTAATCAAATATCGAAGTTAATAAGATAATCTTTAAAACTTTTTAATCATTTATAGAAAATTATATAAATGTATATTTTAATGTGTCATATAATTGTTTAGTGAAGTTTTATTGAAAACATCCTTTTTTATAAATTACAAATTTAACAGATTAATGACTGTATTCACAACACAGGATCAAGAATTAGAAGTTAACTAATAAGAGTTCATATACTAAAAGTAAAGAAAATGGTAATTGGTTAACATCTGATTCTAATTCTTGAAACTTTGTTATGAATATGGCCATCAAAGAAGTTTTACATAAAAAATTTTTAAAATCAATTGTATTATTCTCTGTTTAAAATAATAATTATTTTTGAGTGAGATTTTGTGAAATCTTACTAAAAAGCTTTTATTAAACAGTTCAGATCCAGATAGAAAATGACTTTTTGACTTCATCCTTTTCAATTTTGGAAGATCAACCAATGGATATGCTGTTGGGTCTGGATATGTTAAAACGTCATCAAGTATGCTAATTGTTTTTAATAGATTTTTTATTTTTTGATAAAATATTTAATTGCAGTGAAACACTAAAAAACGTTTTATTGCCTTTTTTCCAAATATAATTGACAAGAATAAAATAACAGAAATTAAGGTGCATTAAAATTATCTCTTCTTACTANATGATAACTTTAATTGAAATAATAGATTCAAAATTTTAAATAAAAACCTGCAATTAAATATGAGTGAACAAATCAAAAATATAATAATAAATTTAAGAGATCTCTTTTCTTTTGATCCTTTTTTTATATGAACTCTATGATGAAAAGAGAGCTAATTCATATTAAATATTTTTGCATTATTATATATGTTTGTCCCCCTTGAAAATATTAACCAAATATTGGCATGCTGTCTATACTCAAAATAAATAAATTGTTATAATTTTAAAATAATTTGTTGTTATATAAGTGTAAGAAGTACAACTGTTCCTTTGGTAATGAGTAATTATTGGTAATTGTCATTAAATTCCTTGATGATAATAATGTAGTCATTGCTTGAAGATAATTTGCACTGCATGGCATTATCTTCATTTCTATCCATCACATTTAGATATTAATGTTATTTCAAAATGTTTTGACACCTATGAAGACACAATCCACTTTCACATTTGACACAATAATGTTTTCTTCAGGCACCTATCTGGTAGGTGTTGTTTCTGAAGAATTGCACCTTCATTTGTGATATGGCCATTTCAAATGTGTTTTAAAAGAACAACTGTTCTTTTAAAACACATTTTTAAGAATAGTTGTTTTTTTAAAGCACATTAAAAGATTGCAATAAACCAGTTGTTTTTCCTTGTATTACCACAATGTCACACTTTCTTTTTCAGTTCTTGAAATTCTCTTGGAAATTTCAATTATCAATATAGAACATTTATGTAAAAGTGTTCCTGAGTTTGCTAAAATCAGGGCTGTGGAGTTGTTTAAAAATCTACCAACTGAATCTGACCAGGGATGGACTTGTTATCAAAATAGGCCTGGAAATTCTGATGTTATCACATGACTTCAGAATAAAAGCTTCAATAAATAGAGTTCTAATGAAGATAGAATGTAGAAACTTTTTTATTCCAAAGCTAAAAGATTCCTCTAAGTAATGACATAGTCAATATATAAATATGTATTTGATAATTTTTACTTTCCTGACTGCTACACTTTCCCTGTTATATATAACAATCGGTCAAAAAAAAAAACCCAAAATTTTTACATTTTTGGGCTCAGGACACCTTGAAATGTTGAGATATGCAAAAGATTTGGGATTTTTTTCCTGTATGTATGGATGTTAGAATGAATGTGTGGGGCATGATTTTGTTCATCTGTTTGAAGCTTAATAATTTCTGTGGTTTTTGAATTGGAGTTGGATGGTTTAACTCAGGAGTTATTAAGTTTGTACTAAACTTAACTGGTTGTACTAAATCATGCTCCCACACATATCCAGAGTTGGCAGATTTTTTACGACTCCGACTCCACAGCCCTGGCTAAAACCAAACTGACCATAACCGGTCTTGGAAGAGTTATGATATCCAGCTGTTTCCTTTAATTCATACCAAAATTCCCTCTAGTAATATTTCTCCTTACTCCTTAATTGTACTAAATGTTTCATTTTAAGTAGAATAGATTTCCTTCTATTTAAAATGGAACATTTGGTACAGTATCACTGGAACAAATGTTTTATTAATCATTTTGAAATAGTAGTAGAGTATAAACAAGCAACCATAATTGGAATAGGGTTATTTCTTGGGGTTGTGAAGGTAATTTACAGTTCTGTTTAATAAATTCTGGTGAAATTTTTGTTCACTTTATCACATGAAAATTAATGTTGTGACAATAGTGTCTTGCCAAGGCAACGACAAAATTCATTTTAATGTGAGAAATCAGTTTATCAGCATTTGTTTTAAGGCAAGTTGACTGTATTTCAATTTTGCCTTGTTGCAACCAATGTAATAAATGGAGGCTTGAATAATTTTTCAAATTTTTTTTTCTTTTCTGAAAATTAGGGTATGGATTACACACATGCCGTCTACATATGCATAAATATGGTAATTCATTTTATGATGAATAGTAATATAAATTATTAGACAAGTTCAACAGTGTACATATATTTATCTCAAATTTCTTGGGAATGAGGAAAAAACATTTTGAGATAGACAGACAGATTTCAAGATATAGGGGTTCCTACACAGTAAACAGTAATAGATTTGATTGGAGGTATGGTATTTTATTAATACAACAGCAAGTACAGTACATATCTATATTAGGTATAAGTAAGTAAAACATTTTTGATATATCTAAACAGAAATAGTTTGTCAATAGTTTGATGCCTGACTGATGTCAAATGTTTGACTTTCTTCATCCAATAAGACACGAACCAAACTCTTAACCAATTGTAGAAAATTGCAACTATGTATTGTATTGTAGATCTCTTACAATACAAAACAATTTATGCTTTCAAAATGTAGTTGCCGAGCTTTGAATTTTGTAATTGACACTTCAATCCATAATTTGAGATACAGATATTTTGGAAGAAAATTATTTAAGATAAACATGGAAAATATATTGAATTTAGGCTGAAAATGCAGGGAAAAAATAAATTTTGATATAGACAGGTTCAACTGTATTTTAAAATTTTATTCATTAAGTATTTTTTCATTAAATATAAATATCGAAATGTTCTTTCATTTTGTTGTCAGTAAGATTGTTTTACAGATTTTATTTTTTGATTTATCATTTAACTATATTATATATACAGATACACACAAAATTATTATTAACTGTAATAGTGATGGCCATAATGTGCCAAAGACTTTCATAAGCCATGCGAAAGCTCTTGAATATCAGCAGTCTGGTTTGTCATACATCTGGCTATTCAGAGATTCTGAAAGTCTCAATAGCATCATTATAGCCTTTCAAAAATGATAAAACTATTATTTTATAAGGAATAATCATGTGTCAACATTCTGTATAGTAAATAATGTTAATCTGACTGACAACCAAGATGTAGCATTGCCATGATTTTATTCATCTGTTTTGAAGCTTAATAACTCCTGTGCTTTTTGTTGAAAATTTTCTGAAATTTTGCATGGAGGTTTGTGTATTGGGGATTGATGCTATTAACTTTTAGTGGTTAAAAGTCGAGGCAGTGAGGAGAAAAAAAAAAAGGGCCATTTGTCATATCTCAAATAGGGTTAAACTTAATGATGATTTTACTTGTTATTAGCATTTACAGTTTTATATAAAACCCATCCTACTCTCAAAATTAAGCTTTTTGCCATTTTATAATAGTTAAAAATATGTTTTTAATAGTAAAATATAACAGATGGCACAACGCATACAGTTTTAAATGTTGCCAGAAAGGTTAAGCAACTTATTGCTAGATTTTTTTTATTCTTTCAACCCTGCAGACACTAATAGGACTTTTTTCAAACCTACAATAGGATGGCTGACTGACAGGGTGTGACATATTAGGGTAGACCCTGTACCCTGATTATGTCAGACCCATCCTTAAAATTTTCTGGGGATTTTTGACTCACCGAGATTTGATTTTTGATCCTCAGAGAAGTAGGATGCTTAACTGCATTGGCATCTGACTGTGTTACCACATTATAACATTCTGCTCTTATCCATATTTGACTCCTTAAATGCTGATCTAGAAGCATTATCTACTTGCCCACTTCTGTAATATAGTATTAATTATTTTCAGCATCATTGAAGCTCTCAATATTGATACACCTGCTTTTCTTAAGATTATTTTTTATTTTTAAGCACTTTGCAATTGTAAGCCGACTTTGTTTACACATTTGTCATGGATTCAAACAGATGCTGGATGGTCCAATTTATTAAGGTGGCACCATTCCTGAAAATTCCTGGGGGTTCTGATCTGGACTTATTCCAGATCCCTAAAGTGGGACCAAATTGCCATTAGTAATAAAGGTGCCAGACTTTATCACTATGGCCATTTGGTTGTTTTTAGGTTAATTCAGCTTTCTAAAATTGAAAAAGACACAAAAATTTTGTAATCTAAACTAATCAATATTAAGCTTAATATTAATTTAAATGAATAATAATCATTTAAAATTCTTTAAAATAAAGATTTGTCTGGTCATCCTTCTGTACAAATTTTCTGAAAATACCTTTTATTATTATAAAATTTTTATTATATAACAAAAAACCCTCCACTTTTTGAGAAATTTGTCATACATTGTAAATATTTTAAATATACACTATATAAGTTAATAATGTATTTATAATACTTTAGCATTTATTTAATTTAAAAAAATTCTTTTTATCTAGTGTTCCATTGATCTAAAAAAGAATAAATTGGTAATTGGCACTACTGGAACAGAGACACCATTTCTCTCGGAAAATGAGCTACCAGAATGTGCACGGTTACAAATTCCTCAAATTCTAAATGTACCAGCAAATTCTCTACAAGAGCAAGAAGACAGACAGTTAGCTGAGGCACTGGCTAGGTCTGCCGAAGACGGCAACGTGCAAAATGGTAATTGTAACGTCTCGTAAATATTACGACATTCTTAAAACTTGATCGTTATTGAAGAACTATTTCTTTTTGGTGCAGAAAAATCTGGAAAATCAAAGAAAATGAAATTTACTAAAAGAAAATAATTATTCACAAGCATTACACTTTCCCACCATCAAATCCTTTATGTATTTATTTTGCTCTCAGTATATTATGCTGTGATATTTTATTTTGTAATTTCTGTACATACTTTTCTTGAAGAAATAAATTTTTTTTGCTTTCAGAAAATATTGTAATAAACAAGTTGATACACATAAACACAAATAATCAAGATAGTAATTTTAAACATTATAAATAAATTTGTAGATTTCAAATAGAATTTAAATATGCACTTTTCATATCATTTTTGTGATATTTATCACTGATCATATAGATAAAGATCACTGAAATTTCACTTTTTTTCAGTGTTAACTGAATGATTCACATGCCAATGAACTCTTTTTACTTAACATTCTGTTACAGTTTGAAAGCTTTAATTTTCTAATATGTAAAATATATAATAATGATAAAATCATGTATTTTAATTTATTTAAGCTTTGTGTGTGTAAATATGATTTCTATAATTATTATTAAACAGTGCGACATGTATTTTATCTGTTACAGAAAATGAAATATTGATAAAATTACTAAAACAGATTAAAGAAAAAAATCTTTCAGTGAACTATAGTTAAAAAACAGAAAAGTAACTATTATTTTAAGCTGCTTTTCTTTTGTATGAGATAAGTCTCTGTACAGAATAAGAATTTGACTGATTAGATTTTTATATAATCAACTTCAAGAATTTTTTTAAAATGTTTTCTCTGAGGCATTATATATATACAATCATTATTTTAATAATTTTATTGATATTTTTTACTAGATGCAATACATGTAATATTGTTTAATATTGCTTACAGAAATGCTTCCTTACATGCTAGATGAAGTACTGAATGTTCTTGTGCTTTCTTACATCAGTTCTTCAAAAATAACTATTGTTTTGCATACAATCCACTATGAATGTTTTCTATCTGCTAAAAGAATGGTTTTATTATGCAATAGTAATTACATATAATTTTTTTGCAAAATTTGTAAATATAAAGCACTATAAAGACCAATGTAATAATAAAAGCATTAATATGTATTAATACATTAAAATATGACAAAGTTGTCAATCATATTACTTAATTTGTATTAAATTTCTTTATATTCATATTAAGCAAGTATTGCATCTGGCTATCATTTTTTAAATAGACGGGTTGTTTATAAATTTATAGTAACTTATTGATTTCAATCATTAATCTTATTAATCTAAAGTTGCATATAATCACCAAGTTAATTTAACTTATAAATTGCAAAGATTACAATATAAGAAATATGATATTTCTTAATATTTATTTTATAAATAATGTACAGTATAAGAAATCTATGAAAAGGTTTAAAATTTATGCAACTGATATAATTTTATTCCATTTTTTCATAAAATAGTTTCTTTTCAATTATATTTCTTATTTATTTTCATTAATTATATTGTGTAAATCTAAAATATTTATTATTATAATTATTTTTGTTTTTCAATTAAATTCTTCTGTTTTGAAAAATAACAAATTCTTATCCCTTATTAGATATTACTAACTGTAAATTTTTAATGTGTATTCTATGTAATTATATGTAGAATTTTTTTTTATTATAATTTTTAACAATTTATGTAGTTAGCTTTTTATGTTTTTTTGTTTTTAATTTTATTAGCTTCACCTTCACCTTCGACCGTAAAATCGCAAAGGATTTCTCTCGAGCACAAAGCCACTAGCTCTTCCTGTCCTGGGTCCCAGCCGGCCGATAACTTCACGGATAATGACGTGCAAAGTTTGGTGAATCTCGGCTTTCCTCGACAACAGGTCGTAGAAGAATTGAGGAACTTTAACGGAGACACGACGCAAGCGATGGCATCCCTATTTGCAAAATCGTTAAAATTACCTTGATTTTCGTTGCACTGTAGTCCTGTGAAATAGTGACTATGTGAAATGTGACCACGAATCTCGTACACTTTCTGTAGTCGGTATTATTGCTAAATCGTCGGCACATTGCATTATCTGTAAGGCTTGGAAATTTTAAAGGCATCTCTAAAACACAAATCATTTTAATAGTCATAGGTAAAAAGGGTGCTTTTTTTATACGTGTTTGCATATGTTACTTCGTATACTTTTACTATCATTGATTCTCAATTTATCTCTTACGACTGCAAAACTATTTTATATTACATTCTCAAAGATGATTTTTTATATATAAATTTCTATGGGAATGTTTTGTTTTTCATAATACAATTTTTATTGCAGGGTAATTGCAAACTAAAAACAAAGACTATATTATAAAAATTTCTTATATCAAGCTGTAATTAGGTAATAGACATGCTAAACTAAAATCATTTTGAAGTTTGCATGCATGTGTTCATGTGATCATTATGGTTATATCAACATGGAATCATAGTGTCACAATTAATTTTTTTAAGTTTAAATTTTTTGCATGGAAATAGTTTTCTACTTGATTTGATTTTTGATAATTAGTATAAATGCTGTGAATATAAAATTAGAAACTAAATTTTTCAAGAAACTATTTCCATTCAAACATTTTAGAATTTTACAAAGATAAATATGATCTGATGATAAGATTATGTCTATATCTTTTACAAATAAAATTTATAATAAAATTTGTTTGTTTCATTAAAGTATTTTTCTAAAATTAAAACTGTCAATTATCTTCAATGGTACAAAATGACTTCATATTGAATTTTAGCTCATCGTCATCACCTTGAAACTAAAACATTTTGGGACTTATCTTCCTCTCATACTCAACAGAACTTTGAGCCTAAGGAATACAAAATTCCACTTTTTCTGTAACAAAATTTTATATTTTTAGAATATGAAAAACACTGATGATAGGGTGAACCTTGAAAACATTTCATTCTGAACAATATTTGATTTCTTGAAATCTCTTTAATGTTGCTCTGTAATTTAATTTTCTCTTTTGAAAAGATTATTTGATTTAAAATAATGCAGAGAAGATTTACAAGTTAATATGTTTCTCTTACAATCAGTATCAAATTACAATATGGTATCATTGATGACATAATTTATTCAATCCTTGTGCAGCAATATCAAAAAATCTAAGTTTTTTAAATAGATTTTAATTTTTGTTATACTTTCAATTACATATGCATTCATTTTAGAAGGTAATTTCAAAATTAATAAATATACTCATTGACAAGAAAGTTACAAAACAAAAAANCCAATTTTTAATTGATGGAGAATTTTACTTTAAAATTAAACAATATTAGAAGAAAGAGGGAGCATATTTTATAAATGTTTTTTTTTTTATATATATAAATAAATGACTTTTGTATTAAATTAACTGAAACATTTAAATATTTTGGATTGTTTCCACTTTTAACAAAGTGCACAAATTTCTTTTTGTACAAAGTACAAAAAAAAAACTCAAAATTTGAATCTTTGTTAGTTATATATAATTATTGTATTATTGTACATTTGAATTAAACATTTCCAAAATTTTTTTTGAAAGTTTACATCTTCAAATCTTCAATAAAGAAACTAATAAAATACAAAAATTCTTTAACCATTTTCAAATAATTTTAAAAATTGAATGGATAATTATCAAATTTATAAAATAACTTATTTAATGCATTTTTCTGAATTAATGAATCCAGAATTAGAAAACAAGTTAAAATTCTGATGGTTTTTCCCATATAACTATTACACATTTGAATCTGTTGCATGTATATTATAGCAAGTGATCAAATGAACACACACAAGTCAAGAAATGGCATAGGGACCAGCTCACTGGGTCATGAAGTCAGATTTTGTGACCCAGTGAGCTGGCTATGCTTATTGCATGGCATTGCCAAGTCTTGAGTGTCAGTGTCACAACTCTTACTACTTTTTGCAAGTTTTCGTTTAATCACATTGTATAATGTTTTAATGCATTATACACATCATTTATATATTCATGTTTTATCTTTATAAGCCAATATTTATAAAAGCCTTAATTTTATATCTAATGAAAATTAAAATAATTTTTAAAAATTACATTTTTGTGAAATTTTTTTCCAATAAAAACCATTTAAGTGAATTTTTTAATTTCAATTTTCTCTGAATACTTATTTCAGATAGACCAAATTTGTTAAAATTGTATTTTAAAACAATATCCTGAAGTATTTTTCAGCAAAAGTTAGGTTGAAAATAATTGAAATTTGTAATATCTTAATCTGTTGTATAATGTCCTTCAAAAAAAAAAAATGTAAATAGGAAATGACATTATTAATAGAATGGAGTTACATCCTATGTAGGATATTGGTAATTTAGAAATGTCAATTATTTAAGTTTTGGAATTCCTAAGTTAATTTTGAAATACTCTTTACAAATCTAATTCAATAGTTTATAAACATATTTCAGAATATATTTTCTATAATCAAAATGATTCTATTATATTTTCTGTAAGATTTTTGAAATATATCATGTATATATACTATTCTACATCCAGATAAAAATTAATGTGCATTGTAATAAATCCATTGTTGAGTGATAAATGTGGTAACATTTATTAAAATTCATTTAGTAATTTTAACTGTGTAATGTATATATAAAACTATTTTCCATTAATATTTAGTTTAAATCAAAATTTTGAGCAAAATGATAACTTATGAAATTATTTGGTTATTAAAACATTATTGGATGTGGAATATATATCTTTATTAAAAACATATTTTATATAATGAAACATAAAGTAAAACTTTATGACTTTTTTCCTTTCAGATTAACAGCTAAATTTGCAGACGAAAACGAAGATAATTTCTGACGAATCTTTTCCGTGGTCCGATCATACGGATATCCAATATCTGTACGGACCAAATTTGGATCATCTTTTTTAACTTCCGAATTAGAAACATCAATACTTAAAGATGAACTTTCGCCCTTTGTCTTAAGTTGTCGAGGAACAAAAAATTGAGAATTATTCTTATTCGGTTTTTCAGGTTTTTCAGAAATCTCAACATCGCACCCGGCATCTCGATTCAACGATGACGGTACATTTATCAATTCCTTATTTTTGGCAGCTTGCTGGACATCATAATTAACTGCTTCCTCCTTAGACGACGACGACGACATGGGAACGGTATATTCTTTTCCGGCCCAAACGTAAGTCATATACTGGACCGGTTCAACTTTGGGTGTTTTTGATTCACCCACGAAAGATTTACCACCAGACTTCCTCTTATTTCCTTCAGAAAAGTTTCCTTCTTTCTGCCGGAAATTCGATTTGGTCCTGGAAACAATATATCTTCTTCTGTCTGCTAATTTGCTTCTGGTTTCTTCTACTGTTTCAAATTCTGGTGCATAGCATACATGCAATACCCCACCAAAAAAAGAACGATTGTCCAGTTGCTTCTTTGCTGCCCTGAAAGAAAAAATATAAGATCATCATTCTATATAAAATTGCATAAATGCCATATTTTTAAATGAATATAAATTACTAACCTGGATGATGAAAAATTCGAGTATTTAACAAGGTAAACGTCGGTAAACTCTTCGCTAGGATAATCATCTAACGGATAAATATCATCAATCAAGCCATATTGTTCGCAGAATTCTTTTAATTCTTCTCTATTTCCCACAGAAGGGACATTTTGTATGAGAAGATAACACGACTCCTGATTAACAGTATAAACTCGTACAGAAGTATCTCTTCTTCCTTCTCTATACTTTGCCCGTGTAGAACATATTTCTTTTTTCTCGTGATGCGATAATTTATTCACGTTTTTAGCTGAAATCGACATTTTTTATATACTTTCAGACTGTAATACTTACTTCAAGGAGGCGGCCATGTTTAAATATCTCATTGTAAACAAATTGGGTTCTTTTATGGCCAAAAAATAGCCAAAAATTCGTCAAACATTTTAAATGCTATTTTTAATATTTTATTTGTTTATATATTTTTCTAAATATATTTAAAAAATCATAATTTAATTAAATTATATTATGTTAAAATAATTTTTTTAAATATTTTAAGTCGCCGCTGCCGTCAAATCATCGATTGGTTTTACAGAAATTTTAGCACGGAATTAAAATTTCTTGAAAGGAGGGAACAAAACTTATTGTACAGACTCAAGGACTTTAAACTACAAGGATAGCCAGATCCCGTATATTTGTTAGCATGACCTTGGATCTATGTGACGTCACAGCAAGTCCTCTACTTCAACACGACAGACCTTTCAAATAACAAAATACGATAAAATATTAAATCATTTCTTAATTAATTATTAAATTACTACTAAATGTAAACTACTGTAGAATTTTCGGATTTAATAAGTGTACTGTACGTCAATAAATTTACAAGTCTTTTGTCTAATATTTATTTAACAAATTAATGAGC